AGGCTTCTGTCGCCTCCGGTGAGGACCTGGCTTGAGCGCCCTGAAGTCACCGTCCTTCTCCAGGGCCGGCTCTCCCCCTTCCCGGCGGGGTGTCGGTTGCGCCAGCCAAGTGTTTCCGGGCGGAAGGTCAGCCCTGGGCCGTGGAGGGTTTCACGTGCGGGTTTCGTTGAAGTTTTTATGGTTTTTATGTTTGCCTTGGTCGCAGAGCAAGAGTGATTCTGAGCAAGTCGCTAACTGTTGAAAAAACGACATGGAAGTGACTTCATGGCTCTGAAGACATGGTCCCCCAGACAGCTTAAAGCCACGCAGAAGCATGTAAAGCTACCGCAGAAGTTTCTTGCGTTTTTGTGCTGTCCATGGGCGCGCAGGTTGACATTTTTGACAGACCGGGTACATGAGGTAGGTAGTCTGACCTCACAGTGTAGCTACGTAATTGCTAGGGCCAGCGCATCTGGTTCAGTAGAACTGTGTCTGGCATTTGCAGGTGGCTTGTTTGCTCATACAGCATGTTGACTTACGGAGCTGATGGACTCTCTGTTAATCTTTTGTGGACTGTTAGTTTTCTGACTTTTTTTAAGTAGTTTATCAGATGAGCTATAATTTGGAATTTCATCCTTAACTCATGTTAAGCCCCCGTTTGAGCCAGCAAATCCTGGGTTGTTTTCCCATCTTAAACATTGTTCTGTGACTACCAGCGCCATCGTGTTAAAGGCTGCCGGTGTGGTAAAACTATTAAAGTTAGAGGGCTTCTCTAGGAAGCTTGATAGTCAAGAATTACCATTCTTTTCCTCTCTTTGTTTCAGTTGAACTTGTGTCACATAAGTGGAAGTGGCATATCATCTTTGTGCAGCAAAGAGCAATGTGGGCAGTATGTTCATCTGAGTGCAAGTGTGTTCCTGGTGTATGATTGCCTTCATCTGCAGGTAGGCATGACTAATTTTCCTTTCTTTGACCAGGCATCACTTGACTAGTTTGTACATGAAGCTGATGACAGAGATGTTCTCACAGGGAGAAACTCCTCAACTTGTGTAGTTCAGGTCAAATCAGGAGCAAAGGAGTTTATTGATCTATTAATGATATAGTTAGCTGTCAGCCAGTTAATCTAACTACTGTCTAACCAGTTAATTGAACTATATATTCAAGATCGATAGCAACAACACAACAGATACAATGCTGCGCATTTACAAAATGTTAGTAAATACCTACAAATATTTAAAGAGCCTTCTATATCTAATTCCAAGGAATTGTCTAATTGTGGCCTCCCCCCATCCCACAAGCACGCATTCACACTGTTACATACAGGCACGGTCCCCTCTCTCAGAGGTATGGATCTCAAGCACGATCCCCTTTTCTGGCTGTGTGGGTTCTCTTGTTTATACATGCCTTCTGTGGGAAATGTGGTTGCTCTTAACTTTTGTGTCTTGATGCGAGCTATTAGTCCACACACCAGTGAGAAAGCTCCCCGCAAGTTCACATACATGCACCCAAGATGTGGGTAGCTATTTTTTGCAGCCTTTATTGTTACTGTACTGTCTGGAGTGGAAGCAGCTCACTGTCTTATGGGGACGTTGCTCTGCCTGGCCTAGGCACAGTGCAGTTAGGGCAACATCTGGCCGTGCCAGACCATGTCGTGGCTGCTGTTCTTTCTGTTGCCTTCTCCTCTCCCCCTGCTATTGCAAATTTTCATGTTTCTCTCATACATCTTTCCAGGCTGACTCTCTGCTTTGAAGTCTGTTGGTAATCCCCTGGCTGTAACGTTGGCAGCTTACCCCTCAGCTTTTTGTGTATAGAAGGCCTCTGTGCTATGGTGTGGACCCAGTGGAAAACTGATTATCTTTCTCCCTTTCTGAGGTATGAGAAAGAATGTAGTAATGAAACACTGCTTCATCTTTATTTTTCTTCTCCATTTATAGTCGGGCGTTGCCACCTGCTGACCAGAGATCAATTAGGGTGAAAACATAGCATGTGACTAGGATGAATCTGTATTACTACAGGGATCTGAGGGTGTTTAAACTGTATTTAAACTATTTCATATGACCCTTCATAATTCATGTGTCATGGAATTTCTTTGTATTTCTTTTGGTAAAGGAGGTGAAAAATAATTTTGTGGATTGTTTTGGCATATGTGTCATCTTCTGTGCACATGCACGTGACCGTAGTTATTTAAATGAATTTATTTAAAGCGACTGTTAAAGTAATTATCAATATTTTTAGGTAATGCAATGTAATCAATTTGAAGTGAAAACTGTAATGGAAAATGTAGTAGAACAAAATACAGTAAAAGCCTTAAAATTTTCTAGTGATTACATTTTTCACTGAATTCATGTATGGTACAGGCACTGTACTCTTAGAAAGCTGTCACTTAGTTTTACCACTTTTGATTTACAGGTATGCTTTTAAAAAAAAAAAAAAAAATCTAATAGGACAAACCTTCCACGATACTGTGGGGAGAAATATCGTGCCGTACCAATAGAGCGCAGTATTATTCTTACGCATTTGAACTGTGTTTGTTTTCCCTTGGGAGAAACAGGAAAAAGATAAGCCTCAAATTACTTAGCCGCAGGTTTCCATGAATCAGTGTGTGTGGCTAGGGCACTGAATCTTTCTGTAGTTTAATCTGTGTGGGAGCAATAGGTGAAGTACAGCAAACTGGGCCCAGGCATGTGGAAAAAATCTCAGGCTGGGAACTGAAAATTACTCAGTTGTAATTCTAGGTGTTTGAGTTCTACTGCAGCTCCCTAGCAGCGACAAAGTATTGACAGAAGATTGACTTGTAATATACGCATGAAAGACATTCTGCTGGTCTCTTATTCAGTGCTTCTTACATCTGTTGTGTTCTGTCTGTGACAAAATCACGAACAAAAACTTCTCAGATTTGAACTTTCATGGGTCAGGTGAATGGATAAGGATATGCATCTCATTCATCCTACTGCTTGCAAGACTTTGTGAAGGAGTGGCATTTTACACTACAGCGGATTCCTCTAAGACGGTTTCTTATTTTTAGGAGAAAAAAACCCCAGTCAATTCTGTAGTTGCGCTTGTGTAAGAAGCTCCTTTTTGAAATACAAAATGAAAAACGATTATGTTCTAAAATATAGACACAGTGGACAGTAAAGCATAAAGGCAATCCAGCAAAAAATACTGATTTCAGAAAAGAAGAAACTGGTATTTTTGTTTGGTTTTTTGTTTTTGTTTTTTTTTTTTCACCCCTCAGGCGCTGTAGTTTGACTTTACCAGGTCTATGTTTTGTTTTGTTTTGTTTTCAAATACATCTTAGAAAAGTGACCAAAGCAGTCACTGACTTAAAGTGGAAAATATAACTTATGTAATTAAAAAGTATATATTTTCATGAAACTAGATTCTCTATTGTATTGTTTACAAACTAGATTCTTGATACTGGGGGTGTTCCAATATTACTGCAACATCGAGGCAGTACAGCAGATATGAACAATACCACCAGTCCTTTACAACCTGGCCTACAAAGCTTGGTTGTGGGAAATGGCTTCTCTTCAGAGTAGGTGCCTCACTTCCAAGTTAAACGACAATACTGCTATCCTTTGAAGTATTTATTTTTACTCTATTAAGCAAAGCAAAATCTTGCTGTTCCGCTTGCAATGAATTCACTTTTTTTTTTCTTTTTTCCCCCCCTGCAGTGTCTTAAAAAAAAAAAAAAAAGAAAAAGTGCTCTGTCTTAGGAAATGTGCTGTGATTTAAAAAGGAGGTTTTTGCTCCTTTATGCAACACAAAGGGGACAGGCAAAAGCCATAGCTGAGGAAATATGGCAGCAAGCAGGTACCCATGGACTTGAAGCTGATATGCACTGTATAAGTGAAACGGACAAGGTGAGATACTCCACGCTGTTTTGAAAAATAGGTATTTAAGAGCTGCATTTTTCTTCATGTGCTTGAGTGGTGGCTGTTAGGAATCATGAAGGCTGAGCACATGCACCCACTTAAAATATGCCATGTAGTTTTAAATTTTTGTTTCTTACGAATCAGTAATTTGGACCAATACTCACAGACGCTTAATAGCCTTCTGCCAAAGGTACATCTTCCTTGTGATTTTCTTATTAGAACAGTAAGTTAATATATCTTTGATCTGTCTTCTGACAACAGTACAGTGACTTCTTGAGAACTATCTATGTGTGCATTAGTGAATGAATTCTGTGTTTACTGGTCAGCTCACCTGTTGTTCGAAATGACGCACGTTTTTTTCTGTTGTTTTTGTGGTCCTGTGTTCTGTTAACTGTGGGCTTCAGCATGACCCTGAGCTTTTGTGGCATCTTCTTGAGTTACTTGGCATATGCACTCACTCCTGTTCACACTGGATACATTCAAGTTCTATTCTAGATAGAAATAAAAAGCTTGGCTGGAGCAAGGAAGTGGCTTTTGATTATTTGCTGTTATCCAAGGGTAAGGATCTGAAAACCGTTAGTGTCTGTCTGTAACTAAAAGCAATATGGACTGTAATTTCCTTCACAAAGTACTTTCAACTGTATGTCCTCAAACAAAAGCATTTAAACAAACAAACAAACAAACTAAACTTGATAGCCTGGTATTTCATGTAAGATGAGCAGAAAATAAAACCTAAAAGAGTTTTTTTTCATGCACTTGAGAATGTGAGAAATTTATAAAAATAATTTAGTTCCCTTTTAGCAAGTTCTTTTCTTGGGTATACACTACATGTTGGGTAGCTGGACATCTGCTTTTGAATGAATACTGCATATGTAGCAAGGTGTTACAAAGAGGCTTTTATGCAGCCAGCAGGGAGTGTGAAGATTCTACTTATATTCTTCCATTTAATTTCTTCTGCATTTGACAGGCTTGGAAATTATTTTCAGGAAGGCAGTAGGCAGGATATTTCCAACCCTGTTATTGGCCTGCCACTAGAATAAATCTATTTTGTCAAATTTGGCAAGACATCTCAGAGCTGTGAGTTATTGATGAGGTAGAAAGATGTACTGAATTGAGAATCTGAGAACTGGGCACTGAGGAAAGAAGTAATTTCCACAGCTTTATCGATTTCATCACTTAAGTTTTTCCTTACTCTTTACTGTAAAGAAGGAGAACTTCTAGAAGCTTAAGTGTAATTGGGGAGGGGAAGGCAGGGTGGCGTAATATACTGGAGCAAGAGCTGTTTGAATTTGGTGGGACCTTTTGTGAAGTCCTTTGGGCATGTTAGATCTGAGAGTTTATTCCACAACATGCACAGTTCAGAGAGGTGTGCGTGTATGCTTTAGGCAAAGAAGTAAGGGGTTTCTGTTTTGTCCATATTCGTCAGTTGGAAGGCCTGTCTTTATGCGGCTGTTGGGTTATTTTTCAGACCTTGTCATCACTTAAAGGGATTGCTGTGAAAGCCTATGGATGGAGTAGGTGGCTACAGAGTCAATAGTCATAATGTGATCCTCTTGCCATACAAAAATGAATGGTCAAATACTACTCAAGTCTCAGAAACACTGTCTGTTTCCAAGTAGTGTGTCTCACCTATGCTCTCGTAGGTGAGAAAAGGTCATAAATCTTTTGTTGTTTACTGTGATTGCTTTTTATGCTTGATGAAAGGTTGAAATGAAGTGGAAGTGAGGTAGGAACAGTAAAATAGGAGGCTAAATGGAGATCATCTTGGGTCACAGTGCCTGTAGTCAGGATGGGTTATCTGAATCAGCACGTTTGCCATGACATGTATTGTCCTGGATAAGACATATCTGGGTGTTTGATCCCACCTTCTTCCTTCAGCAATCATTCACAGCTTGAGCAGGAGGCTCGCTACCATGGTGTGGCATTGCTGTCCTCTGCTGAGACCCCACCTGGAGTACTGGGTCCAGTTCTGGGCCCTCTGGTTCAAGAAAGATGAGGAACTCCTAGAGAGAGTTCAGAGGAGAGCAACAAGGATGATTAAGGGACTGGAGCATCTCCCCTATGAGGAAAGGCTGAGAGAGTTGGGCTTGTTTAGCCTGGAGAAGACTGAGAGGAGGATCTCATCAACATGTACACATATCTCAGGGGTGGATGTCACGAGGACGGAGCCAGACTCTTCTCAGTGATGCCCAGCGACAGGACAAGGGGCAATGGGCACAAACTGAAACTTCTTTACTTTGAGGGTGACAGAGCACTGGAACAGGCTGCCCAGGGGGGTTGTGGAGTCTCCTTCTCGGGACATATTCAAAGCCCGTCTGGTTGATGTCCTGTGTAACATGCTCTGGGTGAACCTGCTTTAGCAGGAGGGTTGGACTAGATTATCTCCGAACGTCCCTTCCAACCCTTACCATGCTGTGATGCTGTGAAAGAGTAAGAATGGGTCAAAGATTTAACACTATGGATATGGAAAAAAATGGAAGGTAGAGTAAAAAAACTATGTAATTGTGTAAGGTTCTTGTTGGCCTATGAGAATTCCCATTGACACAGTTAATGTAGGAACTGTCACCAAACGTTTGGCTTCCAAAAGGTCTTTTAAGTTTGCAGGGGAGAAAGTGCAGTGGAGCAAGCAAGAATTTAGTGAGCTAATCATACATCTGTTCTAATATACCACTTTTTACTTTCTGAGCTTTTATCTTTTTTAGTTTTTTAATGGAACACAATTTATGGTAAATTTTTATGTGATACTAGTAGACCCTTGCTTTTTTTACTTGAAGAATTTGCTTTTGTTTGTAGATGCAGTAGTCACCTGTTGACGCGGAAGTCACGGACACTGCAGACGATCAATGTGATCAAGCAAATGCCGATTTATTGTGCTTACAACATGGTTAATATAGTCTCAATGCTTCCGTGCCACGCATACACTATTCACTGATTGGTTATAAATGCTTGGCAATTAGCTGTCCATGCGCTTCTCCTCAAACAGTGACGGCACCTGTAATACTTTTCATTGGATTAAGCTTTACTGTGCATGTGCTTATTCCAAGTACTGATTGGATATATAAAACAAAGAACACAGCTATCTTAGTTTCTACTTGCGGTCAGCACATTTTTGCTTTAGCTCATAGCTTCTTGCTTGTTTCAGTGTACCAAGGACACGTTGTTTACAAACCCTGGATTGTCCACATATTCCCACAATACTTTGTGGCCCTGTTGTTCAAGAAACCCCTCTACAGTCACCCGTGACAATGCACTGCAGTATCTGTTCTATCTGTACTTACCAAATAAGCTGTGGAAGTTTTGAAAATCTGGGTTACTGCAACAGGACCCTTAAGGCCTTTTTTTGCACAACTTAACAGTTTGGTTTTGGAAGCCTTGGGAATTTGTAGATGCTCTGAGTTCACCTGAACTTGTAAAAGGCAAAACCTCTGTTTGGAACGTCCCTGGACCACAACTCACTGCAGTCTGGAAAAGGCTTTAGGCAATATCCTTGTGTGCTTGCTCTCTTCTCTTATACTTCCCTAGGCACCTGCTGTTGGCCACTGTCAGAGGCAGGATGCTGTTCCAGGTGGTAATTGCAGTCCTGAAACTGCTTGAAATGAAACATAGTATCTCTTGCAATCTTTATTTATATTTTCTCATAACCCTACTATTTTATTAAACTTGGAATGCTGTGAGAGAGATTAAGCTGAAGCCTACAGGGAGCAGTAAAAGGAGTTTGGGTTTCTTATTGTGGCAAAAAGGAGGCTAAGGTGCGACCTAAAAACAGCCTACTTGAGCCAAACTCTTCTTGGCAGCAGAAGACTCTACAACAGGAGGCAAAATACGCTGAGTGCAGCCTGATAAACTCTGATTTGACACTAGTGGAAGAGTTCTGGATGGAAGAGGCTGCCCAAAAAAGTGGAACCTTTACCCTTCGAAGTTTTCAAAATACATCTGGAGTCATGGCTGACCTAATGCAGCATTGGCAGTTGGTCCCACATGGAGCATGGGGTGGGACTGGGTGACCTCCAGAGGTCATTCCAAACAAGGTGTCTGTGATTCTGTGGAGCTGTGTTTCCCACAGGTCGCTAGCTGTCTGTCTGACTCCAAACCGGTAGCGTGTAGGGGGGCTGTGAAAGAGCGCGTTGTGTGGGTCACCTGACAGACAGCACACGGGCACAGCACTGCACCCCGCTGCTGCTGGAAAGCTGGAATAATCAAAGAAACGGAATGCTTTTTAATTGAGAAGTAATAAATGGTTGCATGAGACCTGAATTTATGGAACTGAGGCAGATTCCCAAATATAGGGGGTTCTTGTTGGCCCAGTATAATGGGTGTAGCCCCCCATAAAACCATGGGAAACATGGAAGATCAGTGTTAGCAAAGGGGAGATAAATGAATTGGGGGCAGGGTGAACAGCTATCTTAGTTTCTACTTGCGGTCAGCACATTTTTGCTTTAGCTCATAGCTTCTTGCTTGTTTCAGTGTACCAAGGACACGTTGTTTACAAACCCTGGATTGTCCACATATTCCCACAATACTTTGTGGCCCTGTTGTTCAAGAAACCCCTCTACAGTCACCCGTGACAATGCACTGCAGTATCTGTTCTATCTGTACTTACCAAATAAGCTGTGGAAGTTTTGAAAATCTGGGTTACTGCAACAGGACCCTTAAGGCCTTTTTTTGCACAACTTAACAGTTTGGTTTTGGAAGCCTTGGGAATTTGTAGATGCTCTGAGTTCACCTGAACTTGTAAAAGGCAAAACCTCTGTTTGGAACGTCCCTGGACCACAACTCACTGCAGTCTGGAAAAGGCTTTAGGCAATATCCTTGTGTGCTTGCTCTCTTCTCTTATACTTCCCTAGGCACCTGCTGTTGGCCACTGTCAGAGGCAGGATGCTGTTCCAGGTGGTAATTGCAGTCCTGAAACTGCTTGAAATGAAACATAGTATCTCTTGCAATCTTTATTTATATTTTCTCATAACCCTACTATTTTATTAAACTTGGAATGCTGTGAGAGAGATTAAGCTGAAGCCTACAGGGAGCAGTAAAAGGAGTTTGGGTTTCTTATTGTGGCAAAAAGGAGGCTAAGGTGCGACCTAAAAACAGCCTACTTGAGCCAAACTCTTCTTGGCAGCAGAAGACTCTACAACAGGAGGCAAAATACGCTGAGTGCAGCCTGATAAACTCTGATTTGACACTAGTGGAAGAGTTCTGGATGGAAGAGGCTGCCCAAAAAAGTGGAACCTTTACCCTTCGAAGTTTTCAAAATACATCTGGAGTCATGGCTGACCTAATGCAGCATTGGCAGTTGGTCCCACATGGAGCATGGGGTGGGACTGGGTGACCTCCAGAGGTCATTCCAAACAAGGTGTCTGTGATTCTGTGGAGCTGTGTTTCCCACAGGTCGCTAGCTGTCTGTCTGACTCCAAACCGGTAGCGTGTAGGGGGGCTGTGAAAGAGCGCGTTGTGTGGGTCACCTGACAGACAGCACACGGGCACAGCACTGCACCCCGCTGCTGCTGGAAAGCTGGAATAATCAAAGAAACGGAATGCTTTTTAATTGAGAAGTAATAAATGGTTGCATGAGACCTGAATTTATGGAACTGAGGCAGATTCCCAAATATAGGGGGTTCTTGTTGGCCCAGTATAATGGGTGTAGCCCCCCATAAAACCATGGGAAACATGGAAGATCAGTGTTAGCAAAGGGGAGATAAATGAATTGGGGGCAGGGTGAAGGGGCCACAATGAATCAGACTGTAGAGCACGGTGACTGATTATCTCTGTTGAGAGCTACTTTAGGTCCCCCAAACCATGGGGCTTTTTTTGTGTCAAAGACAGATGTAACACGGAATTTTATCAGACAGAACCAAATGATCCCTAATGGAACTTAGAAATGATCCCCACAGTTTGTATGGCCATACCCCAGTTATCTGTGAAATTATCGGGATTATGGCTAACTGCGTGATTCTGATCATATATACAAAAATACTTTTTCCATGTGACAGAGAACAAATACTGTAGGAGTTGTGTATTTAAGCTGGCTGAGTGCAATTGTGAAGTAGTGTACTAGCCTGCTCAAAATGCTGCCTTATGGCATTTGTGTATAGGACCATAGGATAATTCAGGTTGGAAGGGACTTTGTGAGGCCATCTCTCAGCAGGGGCAGCTGAGGCCAGAGCAGGTTCCTCAGGGACCTTACCTGGTCTGGTCTTGAAAACTCCAACCAAGACTGTAAGTTGCATCCCCAAAATGACTGTAATTACTTGACAGACTTCATGTGGTTTTAATACAGGTAAGATGAGATTAAACATTTTTCTGTGTACCTTTGGGAAAAGTAAGGTGGAAGATAATATCTAAGGCCACAAATAGGTATCAAATGGCACCTTGTAACTTACTTCTTCTATTACTTGTAGTATAACCTGGAAACAGAAAAGGATCCTGTAGTTATTGTTATTTCCACTACCGGTACTGGAGACCCACCAGATGCTGCCCGCGAGTTTGTAAAGAAAATTCAAGACACAACCTTGCCACCTGATCATTTTGCACATCTCCAGTATGGATTGCTAGGTGATTTAGTATCTTCTATATTATTGCAGCACTTGTCTGTCTGTGAATAGTTATTATATTTTTTTACTTGTGAATCAGTTGGCTGGGTTTTTTTAAGTACTTATAAAACATTTATTTTTATAACATGAAAAGATTTTTTTGTGCAATGTCCTCTGAGCAATAAAGGAAAAGTGTCACAGAAAATACCTGAATGTAAGCTACCAATTTAATTTTTTTATAGTTTCATTTTCTTTGTATAAACAAGATATGATATAAGCTATCTATAATTGTTGAACTTTTAATTTCATATAAAGTATCTATGGACTAGATGAGTTTACCTCAATTTTTGAGTTACTGAACATTTCTCTATATAGAGGGAAAGGCAGTATAAAACGTTCTTAAAAAAATAAGGTTTTAAGATCATCCCATCGCTTACAATTTGCAATAATTCTTTTTTTTTTTTTTTTACTTTGATAGGTAGGAGTGAGGAAACTTCTAGATTTCGAGTGAGGAAAGTACCCACTAGAAGAAAGTTTCTAGTGGATGTAAAATGTGGAAGTCTGTAATATATGCATCCTAATCGTGTAACATTTTGAGAAGATGTTACGCCATTGCCTAGTTATGCATTCCAGTTTGTGAAATGGTTAGGTTTTTATTAGCTGACTGAATGCATATATGCATATGCATATATGAAGATAAGCATTGTATTAATACTGAATTTTGTTGTAACAGTTATTGTTTTAGGATCTAAGTTATAACATGTTTTGTGATTCTAGTCTTAAAATAAATTCATGGTATACATTTCAGCTTGTTCAATGAAGTGTTTGCTCTAAGTACCATGCTTGAGAGGGAGCAGAAGTCTTTTTTTATTTTTTTATTTTTTTTTTCTTTTTTTTTAAAAAAAAGAAAAATGAGGCTGTTAGAAAGGAATAGTCCACTTTTAGGTGGGGATGGTAAAGATCTAGTGGTTTGAAATTGCGCGCAAGAAAGTGTCAGGCTGTGAAAACAGGATAGTGAAACAGCAGGGTGGATTACTTAGAGAATTTGTGAAGACTACCTTTGGGTTTCTTAGATAAGCATCTGTTAAGGATGAAGTATGTGTGATTGATCACTTTTAGGATGGGTCAGTGGCTTAGTTGATGTCTTAAAATCACAGGTCCTCCATGAGCATACCTCCTGAGTCCACTTTAATTAGTTTGTTTAACCAACAAAGAGCATCTTCTTCTAACAGAACATCTTTGTGACTGTTAAAGGGCAGAAAACACAGTGCAGTGAAAATGAGATCTACAAAGAAATTTCTGATTCCTGGGGAGGAGAATGTTGGACCAGATTCCCTTATGCACATTTTCTACGTATCTTACTTCATATTGCTTAAAATCACTCCTGTGTTTGATTCCCGCCCCCCTCCCA